CTAAGCAATTTTTTTTAACTCCCTTTAATATGTTTCTGGAACTATAAATTAGGGAAAATGTCTGTGCAAATACAAAGGATGTCAATAAAAAAATCTATGGAGAAAAGGGATTTTAAGCCAAACCTTGAAGATATTAATATTTTGCCCTAAAAAATGTGTTCCTATAGTACTCTCCATTTCTCTTAATAACACTTACTCTGATTTGTGTAACAGAATCTAAGCTCTTTGAGAATGAAGGAATATTCATATTTAAAAAATTTTTTACCTGGTTGGTCAAACTAATTTAACTGGATTTTTTTCTTTTTTTAAGTAAAATACAGGAGCACCTAGGTGGCTCAGTGGGTTAAGTGTCTGACTCTTGATTTTAGCTCAGATTATGATCTCATGGTTGTGAGATCCAGGCCCCACATCAGGCTCCTCACTGAGTGTGGAGCCTGCCTGGGATTCTAGATACCTCTCCCTCTATCTTTCTCTGTCTCAATATAAATAAACAAACAAATATTTAAAAAACATAAAAATGAAATGCAGATGCTCACTTTAGCTACTATCCTTTTAAAATCTGTGGGCATAAATGTCCTTTATAAAAAATATATATGTAAATCTGCTAAGCCTTAAACCTTAAAAAAAAAAATAAGGGAAAATATGTACATGGATGGAATTAATAAACCTAAATGTAAAATTAGTGATTCTGACAAAAAAGGAAAAGAGTAAAGTTGGTTCTTGAAAAGCTGAATGAAGTAGATAAACCCCTAGAAGGTTCCAGTAAGGAACTTTCCGTAAGGAAAAATATAGGTAACATTTAAATGAAAAAGGAAATTTAAAACTACAATGAAGAGATTAAGAAAATTACTAGAATACTGATGCAACTTCATATCAAAATTTCTTTAAATCTAGGGCACCTGGGTGGCTCAGTCAATTAAGGGTCCAACTTTGGCTCAGGTCATGATCTCACCGTTTGTGAGTTTGAGCCCTGCATGGCGCTCTGTGCTGACAGTTCAGAGCCTGGAGCCTGCCTCAAATTCTGTGCCTCCCACTCTCTCTGCCCCTCCCCTGCTCGCACGCGCACTTTCTCTCTCAAAATAAATAAACATTAAAAAATTTTTTTTTAATTCTTTAAATCTAAAGAAAGAGTTGCTATATTAGAATATTTTTATTTCCAAACCTAAGGAAAGGTGGAAAAAATGATCAGATCTATAACCATATTACCAATTCAAATATTTTCAAAAGATCTACCACTAAATCAGCTACTTGATTTTATAGGCCAGTTGTATACAATCTACAAGGACCACCTGGTTCCTATGTGATTCTCATTCTGTAGCACAGAAAAAAAAGATTAGAAAACATCCAATTCATTTTTCAAAAGTTCACAAATTCCAAGAGAAAAGAAAAAATTAATGCAAAAATTTTAAATACAAAATCCTGAATAAAATATTTGCATCATAGCAAATACAAGTTTTGTTACCATAATCTGTATGACCTTGGGCAAATTATTTCCCCTCTCCTTAGTTTTTTCACCTGTAAAATGGAGATAATAGTACCTAAAGTATGAAGTTGTTATGAAGATTAATTAGTAAGTACAAAATTCTTAGAATAGTGCCTGGCTTCTAACAAATGCTCAATAAGTGTTAGCTATTATTATCCCAAGAACAAAAAAGCAACACAATACATTGCATTATCATGTCAAAGTGGAAAATGTGATCTATAAACATAGGTATTTGATAATGTTTTTAAGTAGACGCTTTGGCAAGTCTTTAAGTACAACAGGTATAAAGGGCAATCTAAACATTTGAAAGACTACTACAAGCCAATAGCACAAATTATACTAAGTGTTAAAATACTGGTCATTCCCATTCAATTAAATCATAAGACAAAGATGTTCAGTATCACCATGATTATTCCAATTTGTTTTTTCACTAATGAAATAAAGACAACATATACTGGACATGATGAAATTATTATTTATAGATGATATATAGTGAGAAAGTCTAAGAGAGTAAGCAAAATTCTATAAAAACTAATAAGAAATTTTAGTCAGGGTCTGGATAAAAGATGTATCAAAATCAGCATTTTTTTTTTTTTTTTTACAGTAGCAATACCAAATTTTAAAGGAGAAAAAGAGAACCCGCTCACATTAACAAAAATTATGCAATGCCCTGGAACAAACTTAATACACGACTAGAAGATAAATTACATAAAATTTCACTGAACATGAAATACAACCTGAATAGTATTAACTATCTCAGCAGTATCTGTATCTTCTCAGTCACCCCAACTAGAAACTTGGAGTCCCTTCTAGTTTCATGCTTGTCTTCACATCTGAAATAAGTCATTAAATCCTGCCTATTTCACCTACTTATTTCTCCAATTTTTCACCTCTTTGTTATCTCCACTTCAATTACCCCTGGTAATCCTTTGCAAAGACTCAGCAAATTAAATATTCTCATTACTCCTACCCTTATCTTTATCAAAATCACAGGCTGCCCAGTTGCCAGAGTAATCAACCTAAAACACAAACCTAAATAGATCAGGCCCCAGTTAAAAGCCAAAGATCACCACTGAATTCAGTATCAAGAATAAGGTCTTCAGTCATCTGGACCGAGCTTCATCACCATCATCATCACCACTTCCTCCTCCTCCCCATTTTTTGGTGCCTAAAATAAGACGGTTTCTCATATTAGGATGTGCAAGTATCTCTGCCTAAATGTGTTAGGGCTTCTCACAGTTACCATCATGGTACATCCTACTATACTTCCAACATCAATTTTTGAAAACGATTTTTTAAGAAAGACATATTAAAATGAGTATCTTACAGATGAGAATGCAAAATTTGTATCATTACTTATGTTAAAATGAAAGATTGTAAAGAAAGATGGATAATTACTTATGTTAAAATGAAAGAGTGTAAAGAAAGATGGCATTTACAGATAGCAGCTTTGACCTCTTCCCTTGGTGGAGAATGAGTATGAAGATGAGACACTTGTCATTATTAGTGAAAAGTCTAACACCAACCAAAAGGTTATCACTGCATTTGCTAATGAACTAAGATGTAACTAACACCTGCTGAGAAAGTAATTATGCCAGGCAACTGCTCTAAATTCTTGTAAGTTGATTAGCTCATTTTATAATGGTTTGCACCACCTGACATGACCTCATCTTTACTGCTACTCTCACCCTTGCTGTCTACCCTAGTCATAGTGGCATCCTTGGTGTTCCTGACACACATCATGGTCCCACTTCAGAATCTCTGCCCTTGCTTTTCTACTTTTCCCCCTAGAGAGCAGGGCTGTCTCCTTCAACTCCTTGAAGCACTTCCTCAAATATTGCTTGCTCTATCTTGACCTCCCAACTCCCTTCTTCCCAACCACCATTATTCTCCAAGAATAATTCTGCTAAATTTTTTTCTCCATCTCACCTCTGTTACAAGCTGTTTTTTTCCTATCAGACCATAATTTCCATAACATAGGTTTTATTCACTTAAATCCCTAGTGCTTAGACAAGTACCTGGTACACTGTAGGCTCTCAATGATTTCTGATTTATTTAACTTATTGAACAGGTACTACCGTTAGCTGGATTTTAAGAAACTGAAGCAGAGAGAATCTGCCTTATGGTCACATAGTAAAAGGTGGAACCAGAGTTTGTAAACATAAAGCCTGGCTTCACTGGTCAACATAACTGCATGGTGCCTCTAACTTATATGAATTCCATATGTACTACCTATTTAGTACATTTCCCCAATTAGACAGTTGCTTCCCAGCAGGGATACTTCATCATCTTTGTTCTCCTGCGACTTCTAACCCACGTTATACAATCGATAACTGTTCACAGAATGAATGAATGTATATGTACATTAATTACCTATTTTTACATGTATGTCTCAATTGGCTGGATTATTGTAAGCTTGCAAACTAAAAACTTTTAATATAAAAAATCCATTTTAAAAATGTAATGTAAAAACATTTTTTGAACTGACAAAACATGATCCATGACGAATGATTTAATTAAAACGACATGCGCCTTGCTCTTCCAATTGTTTCCAAACTGGTTTTTAAAGCTTAATTCAATATTAGCATACTTCAAGCAAAAAAAAGCTCCAAAACCAGAAACTCATTTCATTATATACACACGCACAATATTATCTCTTACAAAAAACGCAAAGGGCGGTGCCGTGTTTCATAGAAGACACCGAGGCTTAGAAAGCAATGGATCATGCCAAATAAAAATAGATACCTTCACTTACAAAAACTGACGCTAATGAGAACACTCTCCGCAGCAATACCTGGCCCAGAAGTCACCAGGAGCTAGCTTTCTGTAATAAGTTTGACGACTACCTTAAGGGCATGACTACCTCGCCACAGAATCCCAATGGCCCCAGGCTTACTCTGAAAAACAAACATTTCTGGGTAGAAAGGGTGGACGCAGGAAAAATATTTAAAAAGAGGTCCCTCCCAGGCCCCCTCAAAATCTAGAGGCCAAGATTCTCCTCAGAGCTCCTCACCGTGTCTAGACTACGGGGAAGCGACCATTTCTCAGGCAGAGGTTCATGCACAAAGAAAAACCGGCCATCCAGCGTGAAGGCCGAAGAAGCAAACGAAAACTGAGAGCTCTAATAAACACGGACCCCCCTGCGCCTAACGGCCCCTTCGCAAATTGAGTCGCAATCGCATTTCTCGCGAGATTTATCGTCTCCACGGGATCTCGAAGTTGAAAGCTCGCGGCTTTTCGAAGCGACGGTGGGTTGAGGGAATGGGTAAAGAAGTTCGGGAAAGGACAGCTTCCAACCCCCTTGAAGAACCCACAGACCCACTAGACCCTCTCGCATCTCCTTTCTTCATTGACAGCAGCTCTCCCAGGGTACCCAGGGACTTCCGAAGCGCTACCGGAACCGGAAGCATCGGGACTTAGGGGGGTGGGGCTGAAAAATCAAAAAAAGCGCCGCGAAAGTTGGAGGCTGGTGCGGCAGGGCGGTAGTGGCCCCCAGGTGGGGTTGTGGCGAGTGCCAATGGACTCCACCGCCTGCCTGAAGTCCTTGCTCCTGACCATCAGTCAGTATAAAGCCGTTAAGTCGGAGGCGAATGCCACCCAGCTTTTGCGGCACTTGGAGGTGAGGGACTACGGGATGGGGACTAGATAAGCTTCCCTGTAGAAACCCTTAGTTCACGGTGCGGCCGGGGTGTTGCGGCCCCAGCCTGCAAAGGTCTGCCCATCGCTCCCTTAGGTCTCTTTTTGTATTAGTAAGGAAGGCGAAAGTCAGCCTTGAATTCCCACTCTTAACTCCGCCCAAGTCCATCCGCGTTCAGCTGGCTGCAGCTAGAGGGAATAGTGATTGATACTCGAAGTCCTAGGAAGAGGGAGGGTGGGACAAAATGTTGGGGGATTTAGGCTCTTTGGGGATTGGTAGAGGAGAAAGTTCGGAGCTCTTTCTTTTCCTTCGTTTCTTTGGTTTTTCCATCGCAACAGAGCTCTTGCAGAATACACAGCAATTCTCGAGAGTGAAGGTGATGGGGAGTGATGATTAAAACTTGTTTTATTCCTGTCCCTTAGGCAGCTTACAATCTGAACCAATTGCTTGCTGCTTCTCTTATAACTCATGTTGAACTCGAATTTGAAAAAGAAAAAAATTTTTTTTAACTTTCCTTGGGTTAAAAAGCAATCAAAATACTAATCATAATTTTTTTTAACCAAAATATACTGTTCCCAGTTTTCAAACCTGAATTGCTAAATTGCTTTCACTTTTTCTGTTAGCTCCCACTAATTTATGGCTAGATCACTTATTCACAGCTTTCTGTGTTCCTATTTGTTTTTAGGCTTTTAATCTCATTTCTTGCACATTCACAGAATTCCAACTAACAATAACCTCAGTTTAATTAAAAAAAAAAAATTAAGCTCAGCCAAAGCTTATTTTAATTCCATCTGTCACAGCTTCTGTTAACATAGAACTGAACATAATTTTAAAATATATTCTATTATATTTATGAAATAAAATCTAAATTACAAAGATTAGCAAATTACTACTGGAGAGAAAAGACTATTGAGAATAGTACAGCAACATCAATCTGGATAACTGTTGTGATACTGGAATGCATTAAATGTGCCTGTTTCCTCCAGCTTCACTGATGCTCCTTATCACTTCAGGTGCCCATCTCCTAAGTACATTTTCTTTTTTCATTCATTACCTCAACAAATCTCTGCAAAACGAATAAAGTGTTAGCTGTTAAATGCTAAAGCTTTGCTTCTCAATTAGAATATAAAAATGTGATAGTGGGCTCCAGAAGCCACAGAGTAAGCAGTTTTATTTAAGAAGTAGGAGTACATCATTTTAAATACTAATCAGAAACATGCCTTGAATCTGAGAGCCATGTTGCAGTGAATTGAAGGAAACTCAAAGAAATTTGAGGCTTAGAAACTGCTTGATACTGCATTCCGGAACTTTTAAGGGTTTTACTGAAAACTCTTTTGCCATTTAGAGAGATAACATACATACAGCACATAATGTGCACTGATCTTAAGTGAAGAGCTTGAGTTTTTATCATACGTATATAGTCAAGTAGGTACCACTTGTTTCATGACACAGAACATTTCCAGTCCCCTATAAGGTTTCTTCAGTGGTCCCGTTTCATAAGGTTCAGATAAGTGGACTCCTATAATATGTACTTTTGTGTCTGGCTTCTACTCTACAAATCTATAAAATCTATTCATGTTGCACATGTGCCAGTGCTTTCATTCTTTTTTATTGCTATGTAGGAATTCCACTGTATAAATGGGCAAGAGCTTACTTACATTCTGATGATGGGCAGTTGGGTTGTTTCCAGTTCTGGGTAGGATTCAGAGCAAATATGTTATAAACATTTTTATATTTTTTTGAGATATATGCACTCATTTAGATACCTAGGAGTGGAATTGTTAGGTCTTTTGGTGGATCTTTGTTCATTTTTTGTTGAAACTGCCACGCAGTTTTCCACCGGTTGCACCATTTTTACCCTCCTACCAGCAATATGTGAAATTTGCTGTCACTCATCCACACAGATCCTTAGTGTTTTCAGATTTCTAAATTTTAACCATTTTGATGGGTGATACTAATGGTGAATATCTTTGTTCATACTTCATGAGAGCAACATCTGAGGATACAAAGAAGTGGCTATCATGTGAAAGGAGATGATTGATTCTGCTATTTTGCACTTCTATATTTTTTCTTTGTAGCCCCATGCAGGACCTGAGCTTTGAATTTTTTTATGATTGGCAGAGCTGGGCTGGTCTCACGTTTGGTGGTTTTTTATAGTGCTAATGTTACGTAATGATTATGAGCATGGATTCGGGAACAATGAATTTCAGTTATGCTGCGTCTTGGTGTATGCCTCAGTTTACTCATCTGCAAAACAGCACTTAACAGTTCTTATGAAGATAAAAAGAATTAACATATGTACATAGAACAATGCTTAGGCCAAAGTAAGTGCTAAAATTAGTTATTACTAAAATCTGTTTGCATGAAAACATCCAAGTAAAGAAAATTTGTAAAGTGGTTTTTACGTTTTACCTTGTAATAAATATTACATGTTGGAGTACTTATGCTGTTGAAATACAGGTCTTGTCCTGAGGCAAATAGTTTTTAAAGCAGAAAATGTCTTTATCTTCTAAAGGACTAGTTTTATATAAGTAAGCAAAAGGGCAATAAGAAGATTCCTTACCCCCAAATATCTACCAAATTTTTTTGTCTTTTCAAATTTACTTTAATGTTTTTTGTTTTTTGTTTTTTACTTTAATGTTGAAACTCTTCAGGGGCACCTGGGTGGCTTAATCAGTTAAGCAACCAACTTCATCTCAGATCATGATCTCACGGGTTCGTGGGTCTGAGCCCTGCATTGGGCTCTGCACTGACAGTGGGCATCCTGCTTGGGATTCTCTCTCCCTCTCTCTGTCTCTCTCCTACTTGTGCGCTCTCTCTCCCTCAAATAAATAAATAAACAACAACAAAAATATTCCTTAGGAATAAATATCCTGAAGCTTTCTTATCAGCAAAGCTTTAGAAGAAAAACTGACATCTGGGTGAGGAAATAAAAGAGAGATATAGAAAGGAAGGATTCCTGCTTAGGCCTTTTAACAAAAAAAAATTTTATCTAATTCTAAAATAACTTTTTCCATCTTTATAGAAAAGATACTTCTTTTTACAATAGGCTTTTAATAACATTCAAAAAGCATTTTGAAAATACATGGCTGACAACTGTTTTTGGCCTTCAATCTCAGCTTTACCTTTTCAGGGGGAAAAGGAGAGGGTGGTTTATAGAGTTTTAAGAGGGGAGTAAAAAAGTTGAATAACCCAAAAGAAAATTTGTGCCTGACCTGACTACTTGAAATAATTTTCTAAATTTTTTTTAAATTTATTTTTGAGAGTGAGAGCATGCTCGCAAGTGGGGAGGGTTAGAGAGAGAGGGAGACGCAGAATCCCAAGCAGGCTCCAGGGTCTGAGCTGTTAGCCCCACGTGGGGCTCAAATTCGTGAACTGTGAGATCATGACCTGAGCCGAAGTCGGACGCTTAACCGACTGAGCCACCCAGGTGCCCCTAAAATAATTTTTTTTAACTTCCCTTTTTGTCATCTCTAACTTCTGGGCTCAGCAACTGTCTTTGGAGGGAACAAAAGGAGTGATCACATAGTTAATCCCATAGGTAAGCCTTTGGATTTAGCTAGTTTTCACTTTGCATTGTCTCCCTTAAAAATAGGTGGAGTGCATATACTGGAACTTACTGACTCAATAAATATGTTGGTAGTAGAGTGTTGATTTAAAACCTATGACTTAATAGAGTGTTCTGTGTAGTAAGGGTAAGTATTGCTGGGTTGTCAAAGTTTGCCAGCTTGTGAAATAAAAGTATAAAAGACAATAGGATAGTGTAATAGGCAAACCTAACCTAGTTGGTGGAAGAGGGTTAGCTTCAGGCAGAAACGGATTAAAACTCAGATCTGAATGGTTATATTAGCCAGTGAGAAAAGAGATGGGTAATTTTCCAGGCAGAGGGAACAGCATTTATGACTTCTAAATTGGGAAAAAGCGAGGCAGTGGTACTTTGGAAGAACTGAGTTCTTGTTTGAAGTGGAGAAGAGATGCAAATTGCCAAATCTTAACTAACACATTTTAATGACTGTTTTGTAGGTAATTTCTGGGCAGAAGCTCACACGATTGTTTACACCAAATCAGATACTACCAAGTGAATGCTTGAGCTGCCTTGTGGAGCTACTTGAAGACCCAAGCATAAGTGCACCACTGGTCTTAAGTATCATCAGCTTGCTGTCTCAACTAGGTAATGTATTTAGTTTCTCTTTTCCAGTTTTTAGAAGATGTTGAATTTAATATTTTTAAAAGGTGGATTTAGTTATAGTATTTTTTGGAGAATGATTCGCATTCAAAAGATTTCTTCCTTGTGGGACCTTTCAAAACTATTTTGCATTATGGATCCCTTGTAAAGAGAATATTGTATGCATCCATTCTTAAAATTATTGGAACAAAGAATCTGAAGTATATCAAAGGTTCAGTGGTCTACAGAAAAGAATACCTTGAGACATGCTGGCCTACTTTTGAATTAAAAAAAAAAAATACAGGGGCGCCTGGGTGGCGCAGTCGGTTAAGCGTCCGACTTCAGCCAGGTCACGATCTCACGGTTCGTGAGTTCGAGCCCCGCGTCAGGCTCTGGGCTGATGGCTCGGAGCCTGGAGCCTGTTTCCGATTCTGTGTCTCCCTCTCTCTCTGCCCCTCCCCCGTTCATGCTCTGTCTCTCTCTGTCCCAAAAAAATAAATTAAAACGTTGAAAAAAAAAAAAATACATGCATATATTACCTCGGCTAACTACATCACTCGGAAAAGTCATAGCTAGCGATGAAAAAAATCACTCTTTTTCGATAGGCTACACTGAACTCAGAGCTAAGGGTAAAAATGTAGGTGTTGCTTTTTCTACTTCTATCTTTAGTTTTTAAATTTTCATTTAATGGGTACTTTTTTTTTTTAATGTGTGCTTGCGAGTTGGGGGGAGATAATTCTGAGTGTGATTATAAAATTAATACATGCTTATTATGAAAAAAAATCTCAGTGATCCAAAAATATTAACATAGACCAACATGCCCAGTAGGACTTTCTGTGATGATAGAAATATTCTATATGTATATTGTTTGTTATAGTAGCCATTAGCCACATTAAGGCTATTGAGCGTTTGTAGTGTGAGTAGTACACTGAAGAACTAAATCTTTAATTTCAATTAATCTAAATTTAAATAGCCACTGTGGCCCAGTATCTCTCAAGTTAGTACAGATACAGAGTAAAATAGAATGAGTCTTTATTCATCACCACCTCCTCATCATTTCTATGTTGGTGGATAACATTCTTAAGAGTTTGACAGGTGTCTTTCTAGATATTTTCTTTTTTTTTTTTTAATTTTTTTTTTTTAACGTGTATTTATTTTTGAGAGAGAGAGGGACAAAGTGTGAGCCGAGAAGGGGCAGAGGGAGAAAGGGAGACACAGAATCCGAAGCAGGCTCCAGGCTCTGAGCTGTTAGCACAGAGCCAGACACGGGGCTCGAACTCACAAACCATGAGATCATGACCTGAGGCGAAGTCCGGCACTAACCAATTGAGCCAGGTGTCCCTTTCTAGATCTTTTCTATTCTATAACAGATAATTTTGGTTATTTTTTTAAAAATGGTGTTGTAGAGCATCAGATTTTTCTTTTTTTTCACTTATCTTAGCTATCTTTCCATGTTGTTATCTAATAGCTGCCTTGTACCACACTGTGGAGTACTATAATTTATTCAGCTATGCTCCTAATGGTGGAAACTCATGTATGCTCTTTTTCAAGTTTTTTTTGCTATCAGAATCAATAGTGCAATGAACATTTTATGGATTTTTTGGTCAAATATTAGTATATTTCTGTTGAGTTAATTCTCAGAATTTTCAGGTCATTTTTCAATTTGATGATTGTTACTAAATTACTTTCCAAAAAAGCTATGCTAATTCTAATATCCACCAACCTTTTGTGTGAGAATGGCAGTCATTTTCAACATTTAAATATATTAGAAATTTTTAAAGTTACAGTCTTTTTATTTTTTAAGTTTTACTTTTTAGTTAATAGACTTTTATTCCTTAGAGCAGCTTTAAGTTACAGAAAAATTGAGATGATAATCTTTTAACTGCAAAATTTCTGCAAGTATGTAAAGCAAGTTTTTCCCTTAAATTAGTCTACATAGAAAAATCATTTGTTTATTGACAGAAAAGGAAAAGCTTATACTCCTTTCCCTTTTACAGCTCATACTATTTCTTTGATTAAACTTTTGAATTGGAAAGTAATTATAAGTAAAATAGCCATATCATACTTGATAAGTAACTTTAATACAAAATAAACTTAAAGATTATTTCTCTTTTATTCATGAAAACCATGAATAAAAACATTTGGTGCCATTTTGGGGCACCTGGTGGCTCAGTTGGTTAAGCGTCTGACTTTGGTTCAGGTCATGATCTCATGGTTTGTGAGTTTGAGCCCCGCATCAGGTTCTGTGCTGACAGCTAGCTCAGAGCCTGGAGTCTGCTTCAGATTCTGTGTCTCCCTCTTGAGAGAGGGAGCCCCTCCCCTGCTCGCTCGCTCGCTCTCTCTCAAAAAAAAAATTAAAAAACATAAAAAAAATTTTTTTTTTAAATATTTGGTGCCATTTTATCTTAACTTACAGCTGTAGACAATGAAACCAGAGACTGTCTTCAGAACACATACAACCTGAATAGCGTGCTGGCAGGAATGGTTTGTCGGGGCAGCACTTGCCATGGTGATTCAGTGTTTTTGCAGGTACATACACCCACACAGTACTTTTCACTTAATACTTCTTTTTCCTTCCTTATTTGCAGATCAAAATTCACAGTATCTATTGTAAATTGCTAGCTTATAGCATATGTGCTGGCATAATACTGCATGAATAGCCCCAGTTCTCCCCATTAATAAATTTAAGAGCTGGTTGATTACACATGTACTACTAATTTAAAAGTTTCTAGAGGAGGGAAGCTTATCCACATCCAGCATTATTTTGAAAAGAAACAAATCTACATTATAACTGCTTTGACAGACTTATAAACACAGATGTCAGCATTTTGAGATGTAAGCTATTCGTATTAAAATTGCAAAATGAGTTGGCATCTAGTTTCAGTCAGTTGAGGAAACATTCTACAAAAAAATTGAAGCTATAGATTTAGTTTTATTTAGCATAGACTCGAAGTTCTCAGACAGATAATATTTTATTGAACCTAAAGTGCCATCAGTTGCAAGAAAGGAAAACATTACCAATTACACTGACATGCAGTTTTAAAAGTGGCAAAAATATGAAAAAATATATCTTAGAATTGATGGAATATATATGTTTCAGCTTGCATATTTGTTTAAGATGGTTAAGTGAACCAGGTTGATGACAAGATGCTCTGTTTAAAATAGATTGTGTGGAAATGTGTGGAATCAGGAAATGAACCCTAAAATTCTTAGTAGTCTCACTACTTTATGTTTAAAAATAAAAATGAACCATTTAAGAAATCGAAAAGTTCTTGCTCTAAACTCTGCTTCCTAAAATGGTGACACACTCAGAATATGATTAGGAGTCCATATGAAATGTTTTTATGTTTATATTTATTACTATTTTTTTTTATTCTCAGTGCATTCAACTTCTACAAAGATTAACATATAACATCAAAATTCTCCATTCTGGTGCCAATATAGATGAGTTAATTACATTCCTGATAGATCATATGTGAGTATGCAACCAAACATGTAACCAAATAATTTGTTGATTTATTTTCAAACTAAAACTGTGGAATAGTTCAGTTTTTCTTAGATAATTTTTTCCAGCTTTTTAAATTGAGTGAGACTCTGATTCTTGTTTACTCCTTTTAGATAGTTTCAAGGATCAAGTGCATAAAGCGGCTTTAGTCTTCATAACAGAAATTTATAAAATGAATTGATTTGGACAGAAAACTATCAACCCTGAAAATTGTATGCTTATATTTAATCTTGATAGGAGAATATACTGATGAGATAGCACATGGTCATTCTGTTATTTCCATATTTCTGTGCTACAATTCAATAAGATCATTTAGTTTCAAAACATGAAATAAATGGTCCAAATACTACTCAAAGCTTGACTGTGTTCACATTGTTTTTGCATATAAAAAGGAGTTTAAATGTGAATTACTATCAAAGAGTAATTTAAAATGAACTTAATGCTTTTATCTTTTATTATTTTCCTTAAAACAACAGTCAGTCTCCTGAAGATGAGTTAACAATGCCTTGTCTAGGATTATTGGCAAATCTTTGTCGACACAATCTTTCTGTTCAAACATACATAAAGACTTTGGTAAGAAGTTTTGCGTAAAATCTTTCTTATTTGTGGTGGGTTCTAAACTTAAAGAAAATTGTATCCATCTTTTTCATTAAAAATAGATTAACAAGAATTCTCATGTCTCATGCAGCTGACTCATCAGAATTAAGGAACAATCACATTGACACATAATTAACTTGAAGTATTCCACCCTTTGCACATGTTGTATTTAAGATGATAAGTATTAATAAACGAGTACTAAAAGTTTTCCTTCTCTATAGCATCCCACTATTTCTTGTATTAAGTAATAAGAGAAATTCTAAATTATTTTGTGCTAATAGGAAGGATGCACATCACTGGCAATTCCGTTTACCTCAGTCTTCTATTTCCACAAAATTAGTGGCAACTCCGCTAGAAAGATCCATGAATAAATGACTAGCAGTAATCACCAGCCCTTGTGATCACTGAAGGTGAACAAATGAGGTTAACTGAACCACTGTTAGAAATATGTTAAATCAAGAAAGTTCTTTGATTCTTAGTTTGTGAACAGTTTCCCTGCTGTGCAGTACTTAGTATCACCTGTTTCCTGTTGTTAAATTAAACAGTATCTCATTTGTTCATGTACTGGAGGTGCTTTGGAGACAGAAGGTTATCTTGAGCCATGGAAGTGTTTGGGAAAGATAAACATTTCCTCATAGTTCCATATCTTAACATGGGACTCAACTTTCCACTGAGATTGTACCTGCTTTTATTACTATAAGCAATATGGAAAATGTGCCATCTCACTTTTTGAATGATCTATCAAGTTTGATAATGTTTAATAAAAGATTACCTACTCTGTTCAAGATAGACATCCTAAACCAAAATATAATACTAATTTTTGTTTTAATATCTTTTTGAACTTTTTTCTTTCTCAGAATAATGTGAAATCTTTTTATCGAACTCTTATAAGCTTCCTGGCCCATAGTAGTTTAACTGTGGTTGTGTTTGCACTTTCAATATTGTCCAGTTTGACATTAAATGAAGAGGTTGGGGAAAAGGTAAATATGATTTTTTTATTATTTGTGAAATAGTTCTGGAATTTGTATTCTCTGATATTTTAAGTCATTGAGACTCTGTTAAATTTTAGAATGGTGTCGACCTACATTTTTTGTATAATATAGTTTTCCTGATTTGTTTTTAAGCTGTTCCATGCTCGAAACATTCATCAGACTTTTCAGCTAATATTTAATATTCTCATAAACGGTGATGGCACACTTACTAGGAAGTATTCAGTTGATCTATTGATGGATCTCCTTAAGAATCCCAAAATTGCTGATTATCTTACCAGGTATGGCTCTCTGACAAATTTTAAGACTTATTGGTATTCCTTTTTTTTCTTTTCAACCAACATATGTTTGTTATTAATAAAACTGCCTTTTCAGATTTAGTGAACTTGGATTCTACTGATGAACAAGGAATAAAATTGAAATATTTTGATGTGCTTTATTCCCAGTCATTTTGCTTTTCGGGTCTGAAATGTAAAAGTGTAAGAACAGGGCAAGTGTGTGTGTTTCTTAGATGAATAAAGTTGTCTCATTCTCTTAAATGTACACATCTTGATTAATCTTTTCCAACACCAGTTTTAAATCTTGACATTAGAATTCTTTGAAAGAATACTGTTACCATAAGAACATTCATGTCAGTGTGTTTGTCCTTTTTTTCTTTTCTGCATAAAAATGGATAACATTATTGTTTGCCTCTGTTGTGTCTTAAGGTAAAATGAGAACACATTTTTTATGCCCATTCTATCTCAGTGACATTTCATGTAATCATTTATCTTTTGAGATCAGTTAGCGACTGTTTTCCAAAGAGCTCATGGCCTTTTTATATCTTTTTTCTTAAACATCTCAGATAACTGCTAGTCAGACCCATCTTTTTGTTACATGTTGATTCTGTCATTAATATTTTTTAAATATTTATTTATTTATTTTTGAGAGAGGGAGAGAGAGAGTAAGAGCACTTGCATGTACACAGCTGGGTAGGGCCAGAGAGAGAGAAAGAGAGAGGAGAGAGGGAGAGAGAGAATCCCAGGCCAGCTCCACACTGTCAGCACAGAGCCCAAAGCAGGGCTGGATCACACAACTGTGAGATCCTAACCTGGGCCAAATCCAGAGTCCATTGCTTAACCAGCTGAGCCACCCAGGCACCCTGGCCTTTTAATTTCTGAAGTTAAATTTTCCCAATGCCTTAGCTACTTTGTAATCATGAATTAGGAAGTTGTAGGGATTGCTTCAGAGTTCATTTAGTCGTTCACAAATGAGAAAACAATTATTGAGCCCCTCCTGTGGTTAAGTATTGGGGGAGGAGGGATTATTAGCAGAGGCAGGGATTTGAAGACCTAGTCTCTAATCTTTGAGGAATGTAGAATCCAAAAGTTGTATAAAGACATAGTCCCTAATTTTAAGGAACATAGAATCTAGAAGTTGAAAAAACAAAAGCTGGGGGCGCCTGGGTGGCGCAGTCGGTTGAGCGTCCGACTTCAGCCAGGTCACGATCTCGCGGTCCGTGAGTTCGAGCCCCGCGTCAGGCTCTGGGCTGATGGGTCAGAGCCTGGAGCCTGTTTCCGATTCTGGGTCTCCCTCTCTCTCTGCCCCTTGCCCGTTCATGCTCTGTCTCTCTCTGTCCCAAAAATAAAAATAAAAAACGTTGAAAAAGAAAAATTAAAAAAAAAAAAAAGAAAAAACAAAAGCTGGATCGCCTGGGTGGCTCAGTCAGTTATGCATCTGACTTCAGCTCAGGTCATGATCTCATGGTTCTTGAGTTCAAGCCCCGCATCTGGCTCTGTACTGACAGCTCAGAGCCTGGAGCCTACTTAGGCTTCTGTGTCTCCCTCTCTCTCTGCCTCTCTGTTCTCACTCTCTTTCTCTCTCAAAAATAAATAAAAACATTTAAATTTAAAAAAATTTAAAAAGCTAACCACTAGGGCAAGGTTGATTACTATCCATGTGGTTAACTGATGTTTTTCCGAACCAAGAAGCATTCATGTTAGCATTTCATTTTTTTTTTCTTAAAATTTTTTTTTTTTTTTAACCTTTATTTATTTTTTTGGGACAGAGAGAGACAGAGCATGAACAGGGGAGGGGCAGAGAGAGAGGGAGACACAGAATCAGAAACAGGCTCCAGGCTCTGAGCCATCAGCCCAGAGCCCGACGCGGGGCTCGAACCCACGGACCGCGAGATCGTGACCTGGCTGAAGTCGGACGCTTAACCGACTGCGCCACGCAGGCGCCCCTCATTTTTTTTTTCTTAAGCATAGGTGGATAAGAAAACCTTCCAGAGTGCCCTTCCTTTACCTGTTCTCTCTTTATCTGTTCTAAGAGTCCTCCCAGTATACCCATTCTGGCCATCAAATAGTGCTTATTTAACAACTTCTAAGTAAACAGGATATACCTCTGCAGGAGGACCAAAAGATAATCTGATTTAGCATTAGTAAGTGGTTGCTTAATCTCTTCTTCCATAAATCTCTCAGTTTCACTATCTATTTTCTGTCTAGCCTAGAACTCCAGAATCACCTCTGGAAAGGAACTTGTATTTAATTGTGTTGTCTTGTTCATTTGCTATACCATTTAGCAAACTATTCCTGAATCTGTCCCAAAGTCTAATGGCCGGGTTCCCAATCAAAACCTGGGAAAATCACACTTTATGAGTTTGTATCCCATATACTCACTATCTCTATCTGGACAGCACCTGTCATATTTATTCCCAGCTTTGTTTTACATTTCCTACAGTGGACTTTTCTTTCTTTCTTTCTTTCTTTCTTTCTTTCTTTCTTTCTTTCTTTCTTTCTGTCTTAATGTTTATTTTTGAGAGAGAGACAGACAGAATATGAGCAGGGGAGGCGCAGAGAGAGAGGGAGACACAGAATCTGGAGCAGGCTCCAGGCTCTGAGCTGTGAGCACAGAGCCTGACATGGGACTTGAACCCACAAACTGCAAGATCACGACCTGAGCAGAAGTCAGATGTGTAACCACCTGAGCCACCCAGGCACCCCATCTACAGTGGTCTTTCAAATATTTACTACTTTCCTCTTGACACTTTTCACTCAGAAGATGACCTTATTTTTGTTTCACAGAACAACAGCAACAACAACCTGAATCCTACCTGATTGGAATTGTTTCAAATTTTTGCTCCTGAACCAATTTACTTGTGTTTATACCAATTCTTATTTGGTGTCATTCTGTTTCGCTCATAAACACACATCTTGTTATTCTGTGCATTAACTCTCATTCTGTCCCCTTTTTCAAGTGTCTTGTCTCTTCAGTGTCCCATTCTATTGCCTCCCTTTACTTATATTCAACTTTCCTTCAACCGTATGTCCCCTTTAAAGTCTGTGTTCTTGGGCGCCTGGGTGGCTCAGTTGGTTAAGCATCTGACTTTGGCTCAGGTCATGATCTCACGGTTCGTGAGTTTGAGCCCCGCGTCGAGCCTGCTCCAGATTCTGTGTCTCCCTTTCTCTCTGCCCGTTCCCTACGCTCGCTCACTCGCTCTCTCAAAAATGAATAAACATTAAAAAAAATAAAATGCTAAAGTGTGTGATCTCCCATTGCATTCAAGGTAAATATCCAGGTTCCCAGCATAGCCATCAAAAATCTGGTCTCTGGTAAGCTCTTATCCCTGTGTCTTTACATTTTTGTAGGTACTTTTGTCTAAGCATTTCAGACGATAAATAGAATCCCCAACTTGCTAGAAATGCCTTTTGTGTAACCATGTGCTATTCCCTCTGAAGTACTTCTGCTGGAAGGTTGGAATACTTTCCCCTTCTGATGTCTAATTCCTGTTTGTTTTTTGAGACTCAAGTCTGGGAAACCTCAGCTGATCTGGCCTACCACAGCAAGTATGGGTTTGATACTCATCCTCCCAGCATCCTATACATTTCTCCATTATAATGTTGCATTTTACATTACATAATATGTTCTGCCTGCCTTTATTCTTTTGAATATTTAAACTTTTGAAAACTGTAACGTGCAGAAAAATCTTAACTGCACAGCTCTGAAGTTTTACAAAGTGAACACAGTCATATAACCATTGTGAAGGACTAATTGAACTCTTTGCAGCAGTCATATAACCATTGCTCTCCGACAGAGTCATTCTCCCAAATACAGGATGTATCATTCAAGTATAAATTTTGCAAAGATTGTTCTATATTAGAAGCTCAAAATAAATAGATGAAAGAAATCACTTAAATTTTATATTTGTCTTGTATATAAATCCTTTTTGATGTATCAATTTCATATTTATCATTTGATGTATATTTTTATTTTAAACTAGGTATGAGCACTTTTCTTCATGTCTCAATCAAGTATTAGGTCTTCTTAATGGAAAGGATCCTGATTCTTCTTCAAAGGTGTGTAAAAACATAACTTTTTTGTTTTAAATTTTTGAAAACTGTAATGTGCAGAAAAATCTTAAATGTGCAGCTCTGAAGTTTTACAAACTGAACACAGTCATATAACTATTACCTAGATCAGAAAATAGAGCATTACCAATACCCTAGAACCCTCAAATCTTCATTCACTGGTACATTCCCCTTGGAAAATTGTTTCACGGTGCCTAGTGAATATGCATACACCCTGTGACACCGCGTTTCCACTCCTAAGCTACATAGCTAAGAGAGACATATCCATAAGCTCATCAAAAGACATGTACAAAACATTACATAGAAAATGCAGCTTTAAAAATGACACGATTTCCTGGTTTTTTTTTTTTAAATGTTTATTTGTTTATTTTGGGAGAAAGAGCGCACAAACCTGTGTGCGAGCCAGGGAGGGGCAAAGAGAAGGAAAGCGAAAGAATCCCAAGCAGGCTCCATGCTATCAGCACAGATCCTGACATGGGGCTCAATCTCACAAACAGATCATCACCTGAGCTGAAATCAGGAGTGGAACACTTAACTGAGCCACCCATGCACTCCTATTTTCTGATTTTTTTAAAACATCAGATGCTTAGGGGATAAATTCAACACAACGCACACAAGGTCTCTACTCTGAAATTATAAAACATTGAGAGATAGGGGCGCGTGGGTGGCTTACTAGGTTAAGCGTCTGACTTCAACTCAGGTCATGAACTCATGGTTTGTGAGTTCAAGCCCTGTGTTGGGCTCTGTGCTGGCAGCTCAGAGCCTGGAGCCTGCTTCAGATTCTGTCTCCCTCTCTCTCTGCCCCTCCCCCACTTGTGCTCTGTCTGTCTCTCTCAAAAATAAATATTTTTTAAAAATTCAAAACATTGAGAGCTATAAAAGACCTAAATAATACAGATATACTAAGTTCATAGATTAGAACACTTGCAAAATCATAGCAGGCTTTAGTGGGTTTTTTTGTTTTTATATTTCTTTTTGTCTTTGGTGTATATGGAAATTGGGAAGCTAATTATAAAATTCACATGGATATACAAAAGTCCAAAAATAACCAGGGCCATCCTGGAAAAAGTGAACACAGTTGGAGGATTTCTAACACTACCAGATGTTAAGACTTAACGTAAAGCTGTAATAGTTAAAACAGTGCAATACTGTCGTTAAGGATGGACTGGAACACAGTACAGTGTCAAACCAAACCATAGCATATGGTCTCCTGATTAATACAGTGCTGTCTTAAAAGTATGGTCATTTCAGGGAGCTTGGGTGGCTCAGTCAATTAAGTGTCTGGCTCTAGATTTCGGTTCAGGTAATGATCTCACTCCCAGTATGGAGCCTGCTTAGGATTCTTTCTCTCCCCTCTCCCTCTGTCCCTCCCCTGCTTGCACACATGTCCCCCTGCTTTAATAAAATCACCTTTTTGCACCAATGAATAAAAAAGAAAGAAAGAAAAAGAATAGTAAAAAAAATTGAAAGCTGTTTTTAATTTTTGTTTTAGAATATTTTCTTTAAAAATATGTCATTTTCAACTTCATCATTTGGTTGCTTTATGCATTACAGGCCAATGAAATTGACATTTAACGAAGACTTTATATTGCACAGGTTTTAGAATTACTTCTTGCCTTCTGTTCAGTGACTCAGCTGCGCCATGTGCTCACTCAGATGATATTTGAGCAGTCTCCATCTGGCAACACCATTCTGGGAAGCCGTTCTAAATGTTTAGATCCTACTGTGGCTCTACTTCGTTGGTCAAGCCAACCTCTGGATGGATCAGAAAACTGTTCTATTTTAGCTTTGGACTTGTTCAAGGAAATATTAGAGGTAATATAATGATAACCAAAATGCCTCTTCATTTTTATGATTCTCAGTGAACAGTTTACTTTCAAAAATATTCACAGTAAATTTCAAAGTGTTTATATACTTTATGAAAACTTTTCAAGTAACAAGCTCCCTAACATTGACCTACAAAATTTCCTTTTTTTGGGCAAAGTCAGGGACATTACTGTTTTCTTTTTTCACACTGAATAACTTATATGTATTCCTTTCAGTGTAATAAGTAAAGGTATTAGCTGAGATTTGTATGGTTTATTGTTGTATGACTATGTTTTTTGCAGTAGTAACATTCAGCTTCTCCGTCTCAGTGGATACTGTTGACCATCTTTATTATCCTTTGAGTGGATTAATATAAGAACATTGGATTCAGTCACTCAGATGGAGTGGAACATGCCAGACAATGCGAGGCACTTAGGATACAGACAAAAATTCTTTCTGTAGAGGCTATTACATTCTGGTAGTTTCTACTATCTAAGTCATTTAGCATTCTCTACTGTTTTCCCTGTTTTTATGCCATTCTGCCTAACACAGTATCTTCCTGGAGTGTTTCCCTTCATGACTGGATCCTAGGCACAAACAAAAATGTATATGAGTGATTAAATATATTTGTCAAAGATTATGCACAAATTATTCTTTCTGTTTTATGTTGGTCTTGACCGTTAATCAGTTTTAGCGTTTTAAAAAGCCTTTCAAGATCCTTGATGGGAATTATTTATGGTTGTAAAGTATTAAGACCAGTGATTGTTATTTAATTATGTAATTTCACTTGGCAAATTCAGGATTCTTGTTTTGAAATCACAGATACAGTCTAGTTAAAAGTCTTCTTTGTAGTTGAAGGGCACCTGGGTGGCTCAGTTGGTTAAGCATCCGACTTTAGCTCAGGTCATGATCTTGTGGTTCATGAGTTCAAGCCCCTCATCAGGCTCTATGCTGACAGCTCAAAGCCTGGAGCCTGCTTGGGATTCTCTCTCTCCCAGTGCCTCCCCCACTCATTCTTTCTCTCAAGAATAAACATTTAAAAAAAAATTTTTTTTTAAGTCTTGTTTACAGTTTAATAACCCCAAACCTTACTGTTCCATTTAAGAAAAAAGTCATAGCCATCAAAACTGGGTAGATTTTAAATAGGAGACACAGGTCAATCAACTATTGAAGTAATTATAAGAAATGTGATGAGAGTGTTGCAGCTCAGTGATGACTAGCTCTGTGTTCTTTATTCCATCTTTATTTTGATTTTTAATCATTGGTGGTGGTTAATTCTCCAGGATGTTGTAGATACTGCTAACTGTTCCTCAGCTGACCGATTTGTGACCCTTCTACTGCCTACAATCCTTGATCAACTTCAATTCACAGAACAAAATCTAAATGAAGCTTTACTAAGAAAAAAATGCGAAAGAATGGTCAAGGCCACTGAAGTTTTGTTAAATATCCTTTGCTGTTAAAACATGGAAACTAACCGCTCATTTTTTTTCTAGCATCACATTTACTGCATTTTTGTCTTTATTTGTAATTTTGTCATTTCTCACGCTTGCATCTATTCAGAATTACTGAAGTTTAAACTATAGTACTAATCCTCAATAAAGAGTGTGAAAAAAGTTATCCAGACTTTATTTTTTCCTTATTTTTCTTTGTAAAACTTTTGAACTAAATAATATTTTTAGAATACTTTTTAAACTTAATTTGGACATTTTTATCATAATTTGAGATTAGGAGATATATTCTAAAGTAACAGAACCGCTCTGTTACTCTAGTGCTAATTGCTGTCCCTGGGCGATTTGTGGTGCCACCGTTGGTAGCAGCAAATCAGAGAATAAACAAACATCAGTAGAGTCATTATAGTTTAGTTTATATTATAATTTTTACTGAAAATTAAAGTCTCTAGGAATGTTTTAATAAAGATGACATCACACTTGGTTATAAAAAAGACAAATGTTGTCAAGACAAATTCATTTATTTCTAAAAAAGAAAAGCTTGAGTTCAGTTAATGTCACTGCCTAACTTCCATATTGCATGCATTTTTCTTAGGTCTTTCCTTGTGCTAGCTGTTTTCTTTTAGATCAGCTGATTCTATGTCCATATGAAGCCCAAGTTCCATTTTTAAAATATTTCATTAATGCTTTCTATTATCAATAAGGAGCCATTATATCTAAACCATATCTCTTATATTATACCTGGTCAGGTTTTCTTTTTTATATCTCAGAGCAACAAGAATTTGCTCAACTTTGTCCTGCCCTAGAGCAAATTCCACATCTGTTTACTCTCTTCTCTGAGCTGCTGCTTCTTAATTTTTCTTTACCGCAGTAATTCCCAGCCCTGGCTATGTGTTAGAATTACCTGGAGAATGTTTTAAAAATACACCTGAACCTTACTTCCTTCCAGCAATTCTAATTTAATTGGAGTAATGTGAAACCCTGGCGGGGGGGGGGGGGGGGGGGGGGGGGGGGGGGGGGGGGGGGGGGGGGGGGGGGGAAGGGGGAGGTGTTGTGATTGATTGTTCAAACTGCCCAGGTGATTCTAACATGCAGCCAAAGTTGAAAATCACTGCTGTAGAGACACATGATTATGTTGCTTGATCCTAGAGATAGCTGTTATATGCAAACCTCAAAACTGGTACTATTCTGAGCCAAAGCCGACCCCTTTTTAATATAGATATTCAAATTAACTTGTAGTATACAAAATAGGAAAGAATAACTTTCCTTGGTTCAGCAAATATTGAACCATTGTGATAACCTGCTAATACTAACATCCGGCAGAGTAACAGACTTTTGGTCTCAGTCCCATCTCTTGGCACTTACCAGTCACTTAAATTCTCTGAGGTCTAGTTTCCTAATCTGCCATTGAGCTAAATATAATTGTATGGAAGTGGAGTGACAAGATACTTTGAAATCACTCTAAATACTATAAAGTGCTATACAAATATAAGCGGTTTTTTGAAAATTTTTTGTTTGTATTCCTTAACAAAACTTACCTCTGTGTGGAGATGATACTCTAAAAATGCATGTTGCAAAAATTCTGACTACTGTCAAATGTACCACTCTGATAGAACAACAATTTACATATGGCAAGATTGATCTGGGGTTTGGAACAAAGGTAGCAGATTCTGATTTGTGGTGCGTATATGAAATCCAAATGGCACAGAATTAACAAAAGTTTTTTCATAATTTTAAAAACATTCAATTCATAGTTTATATGCTTCTAAAGAAAGGATAATCTTAACATGTGATTTGTTTTCCATTGTTCATTTTGTGTTGTTTTAATTTGTTATTATCTAAGGGTCTTTTATACTCCTTTTTAGGAGGCTTTTTTGACATTGCCTCAGGAATTATTTTTATGTTCATTTTAACCAAAAAGCATGGAAAAACAGTCATTTTTTTTATTATGAGGAAATTAGTAGTTTTTGTACTTACAAAGGTTGTTCTTTTCACTGGCATGTCAGGACTTTCATTTAAAGGTGGATTTTCTCTGATAGTGATGAGATTATTTTATCCCCCTCCTCCCTCATGAATTAAGTCCATTAACAAGTCTTTAGTGAGGACCTGCTAAATGCTACATACTGATTTGTTCTGATTTCCATGTTGAAATTGTCAATTTGTGATCCTCAAGGACAAGGATTACCTTTTTTTACTTTTTTATACTGCCTTGTGGTACAAGGCTGAAAACATGGTTTAGTGTATTGGTAAATATTAGGTATTCTACACCACTTAAGGTTGCCCTTTATTGTTGATATTCCAATGACAGAGCTAAGAATTAAATAGGTCATGTTGTCAATGCTACTAGTAATTTGGAGCAGAAAATTGAAGCATGCTGGTATTTGAGTTTAGAAAAACAAACACTGTCTAAACTTAGACTATTAATGCCAATTTGTTTTTTTGGACTTGGGTTATAAGGATGCTGGTCTCTATTGTATTTTTACTTCCCAAAAGAAACAATACTTTGGTACGCCTAGGTGGCTCAGTTGGTTAAGCGTCCAACTCTTGATTTCGGCTCAAGTTATGATCTCGCAGTTCATGAGATCAAGCCTATGTCGGACTCAGCATGCAGAGCCTCCTTGGGTTTTCTCTCTCTCAAAATAAATAAATAAAATACTTCATCTTCCTGAGGTTTAGAAACAAAAGTGTTGGTTTTTCAGAATATTCTTAGAATTATGACAGAAATCTCTAAGCAGTTTTTTAGTTATCTAATTGAAATATGACTTATTTTTAAAGCAAACTTGCTGCTGATGTAGTTTTGAAAACTCTTGATTTGATGAACAAGCTTAAACCATTGGTTCCTGGCATGGAAGTAAGCTTCTACAAAATCCTGCAGGTGAGTTTAAACTCTTCAAATATTGAAGTTTATTCATACATAAATGCTTCCTAATGTGTGATTTTCTGTTTTAATATTCTTAATCTTTAGAAAATGTTTCTCTTAGAATTGGCCATCAGAAGACAATTGTTAGTTGTCTTAAGTAGCTGTAATGTTCCCAGTATATGGTGATTTTACATAGTTTTGCAGAAATTGAACATAAATGCTTCTGATTCTAATGTATGGGCTGTTTATGATAGTAGTGCTTCCTCAGCCTTTTTCCTTTCTTGTGTCCTACTTCATGTTTGTTTATTTCTACTAGTATTGCAGTGAAGAGGGGGTGGTATTTGTTTTGGAGTTTTGGTTTTGGTTGGCGTTGATGAGGTAGGATATTAAGAGGATAAAGGACACATCTGGAAGAAAAGGACTTGATTGTGAATGATAACAGGATGAGAGAGGGTGTGCAGAAAATAGCTAACTCAAAAATTTTGATGATAGTAGTAGCTGAATAAGAGCTCTAAATGTTTACCTTGATAGCCACAAAACCTGACTTACATGTGTGAGTTAAGTTACTATAATGATTTAACAAAGATGGCTCCGGGGCCTGTATAGGAGCCAAAACTGAAATCTTACACAGGTGCCACTTACACACTCTGAGAGCATAATGCGTAAGAGATGGAGTTCAGATGTTGACTCCACCATTTATTAGTGTGGACTTGAGGACTTGAGCAAGTTATTTCACTTCTCTGAACTCCAGTTTCCGTAACTACAGAATGAAAATAATGATCCCTCTCCATAGGAGCAGTTACAAAGAGTTACCATGAAGGTTATGGAGATAAAGCCCAGCTCTTAACATGGTTCTGTGGCCTTCAATTGTAACTGAGTACTTACAAGACACTCAACATAGTAAAATGTGGATAATTATAAAGGATTCATATTTTAGTATTTTTCTCTGTTAACACCTTAAAAATTGAATCAAACTGATTTTTATGTCCTTTAGGAGATGTTTTTCAGAATAAATTATTTGGGGCTTACAGTACTAATAAAAAATACTTGCTGGCATGAAAGACTTATGCTTTAAGTATAATTATTTCAGTTACTAAATTAGAATTTTTTTAGTTTGAATTTTATTCTTACTTGGAAATGATTAGTTATTATTTCTTATAGCCAGATTTTTTTTTTAAGGGTAGCTGGACAAACAAAATTCAAAAATCAGTCAGCTATGGATGATATTTTAAATTCATCCAAATATTGAAAATATGATTTTCATAGGCACAACAAAACCATTCAAAACTTTTGCCAGAAATTTTTAAAGCTAGTGTTCATATTGACTGTGTAGATAACTATAACTAGGTAAAGGCTAATAAATACATTCGAACATCAGGTAGAAACTGTTCACAATTTGCCTAGAATTATTTTATGATTTAGCTCTATTTACTCATCTTGCTCTAAAAAGCCTGACATTATTCTTTCTGCTTCTTGTTTTCTGGTTTCTGATTTACTTAGGATCCACGCCTGATTACACCCTTGGCTTTTGCTTTAACATCAGATAATAGAGAACAAGTACAGTGTGGATTGGGAATACTATTGGAAGCTGCTCCACTGCCAGATTTTCCTGCCTTAGTGTGAGTTGTAGTCATTTGCGGTATATCTTTCGTGGTTCTAGAATATCCTGCTATGTTTCTTTAGTAGTCCTCAATACAGATAGATTAGAAAATTTGTGAATTAAAGACATTGTAACAGTCAGTAATTTTTCAAGTGATTAAAAGAAAACTTGATTCCAGTAACTGAAAAGACCAGGTGTATACTCAGGGAAAAACTACATTTAGGTGGTTAAATATTTTATCCAGGCACTATGCCTCTCTGTCTCTCAGTTGCTCTATTAACATAGCAGCTTCTGAACCATGCTTTACATCCTATCAGTTTATTTCTTACAAGATAGAACAAGTTTCCCTGTGTCAGCTGTACTTAAAAAAAAAAAAGGTAAAAAGACATTTAGGTTAGATTTGAGGAAAAACTTCCTCAGCTTAAGGGTTGTAGGTAACCACAGAATTGCCAGAGGATATGATGAGAACCTGCTCTAAAGGATTAAACACTTAATAAAAAACATAGCGTTTAGGACTAAAAAACTATCAACAAAAACAAAACAGAAAAGAAAACAAAGAACTTTCTCAGTTGTATAAATGATAAGTCTAAGCATCACTCTCATTGACCAGATCTGGATTGTTTTACAGATACCAAGGGTTCAGCCGTAAAGAACTATGTGGACTGAAAGGTTGGGTGTGGTGGTAGTGTTCCTAAAGAAAAATCCTGTGCTTTTTTTCAGAAAGTGGAATAGATAATGGCCAGGCAGAATTGTCCGCTATACTCATTAATTTCAAACATTAAGAGAGTATTTGCTGTTATGTTTGAAAAAAATTGAGATTTTTGGGCTCTCTGTAAACTAAATGGTTAACCAAATGTCCAGTTGTGTCTACCTTAATTTTAAAAAATTTAAGGGGCTTGGGGCACCTTGGTGGCTCAGTCGGTTAAGCATATGACTCTTGGTCTCAGCTCAGGTCATGATCTTACAGTTCATTAGTTCAAGCCCCACATCTGCACTGTCAGTGCAGCGCCTGCTTGGGATTGTCTCTCTTTCCCTCTCTGCCCCTCTCCTGCTCACTCACTTTCTCTCTTTCAAAAATAAATAAACTTAAAAAAAAAACATTTAAGTGGCTAGTATAAATGAATTTGCAAAAGTGGTTTGAATAAACTGAAGCAAGTTTATAAGCAGGTAAGACATTCCTGTATGCTGGCGTTCTGAAAACTATAGCCAGCAGGCAGGCTGTAAATAAAGTTCTATTGCAACAAGAACATACCCATTCATTTTCATATTGTCTGTATTTTCTGTGTCTACATTCATGCTATGACATCAGGATTAGGTAGTTGTAACTATTAAGCCTAAGATACTTACTGCATTGTCTTTTAAAAAGTTTGCTAACCTCTGCTATTTAATTTAGCAAACTCATTTTTCAGAATTAATAATTTAATCCTAAATTAAGAGATTAAGAACTATGGAGAACAAGACCACATAATCAAAATTGTCTTCATTTTATAGTGAATATTTTTAAACAAATAAATGGACAAATAGAGAGCTTCTCAATTTAAAGATAGAAGTGGTCTGGGGGCGCCTGGGTGGTTCAGTCGGTTAAGCGTCTGACTTCGGCTCAGGTCATGATCTCACGGTTTGTGAGTTCGAGCCCCACCTCAGGCTCTGGAATGACAGCTCAGAGCCTGGAGCCTGCTTCAGATTCTGTTGTCTCCCACTCTCTCTGGCCCTTCCCCTCAAGCTCTGTCTCTCTCTCTCTCTCTCTGAAAAATAAATAAACGTTAAAAAAATTTTTTTTAAAAAGTGGTCTGTGAAGCTGCTTCATTTTGTGGTGGCTTGGTTGCTCCAACTTTGGTAATCTGATATAAAGGAAAGCCCCTGTGTTTCAGAATGGAAAGCTTCAGCTTCACTGAAAGTGGGAGTCTTATCCTCTGTCTCTGTATGTGAAATCTACCACTTTATATCTTGGCTGCCCCATTCTTACTGGTGTTGTCTATGTTTCTCTTTTGACACTGTTTAAGGTATTCATTTGTTTTATTTATGTCTGTTTTTGCCTTTGTTTACATCATCTTAGTTTAATAAGGTGAATTCATATGCTGGGTGGGTGGGTACATAAGTAGGTTTTTGGTGTATGTTTGTTTTATTTAGACATTTAACAAACATCTGGTGAGGGCCAGCAATGTGCAGGCCCTCTAATAGGCATTTTTTTTTTAACGTTTTATTTATTTTTGAGACAGGGAGAGACAGAGCATGAACAGGGGAGGGTCAGAGAGAGGGAGACACAGAATCTGAAACAGGCTCCAGGCTCTGAGCTGTCAGCACAGAGCCCGACGCGGGGCTCAAACTCATGGACTGCGAGATCATGACCTGAGCCGAAGTCGGCCGCTTAACCGACTAAGCCACCCAGGCACCCCTCTAATAGGCATTTTTGATACTGCAGTAAATTAGACCAGGAGCCACTGTCATGTGGTTTACATTCTAGTTGGGATACAAGTTTAAAAAATTAAGTTTCATAATGTGCACTTCACTGTGGATGGAGGGGCCTTTCTGAGGAAGTGAATTTGAACTGAGACCTGATGATAAGAAGGAGCCAAGTCTATGCAGATCTGGTAAAGGAACAGCTCATACAAAGGCCCTGAGGCAGGAACAAGATATGGTAAGTAGAAGGAGCAGAATAGTCAGGTTGGTGAGAAAGTACTGACGAGAAAGGGCAAGACTGAAGGACATAGGTAAAGGACGGGTGATGTTGTCCATGGTAAGAAGGATGTTCTTACCAATAGCAATATCACTGTACTTAATTTTTACAATTAATCCACACTCAAAGACCAGTTCAGGTGCCTCCAAACCAGAGGTGGAATTGTCATTATAAGGGGTTGTAACTAGAAAAGAGTTTCTTCTGGCAAATTTTTAGGATATTTTCCAAAATTTGGTTTCATCATAAACTCCAAGATTATTTCAAAAACATGTGAAGGCTTATATTCCCAAAAAGATCCATTCTAGAGATTCCCTAATTCTATACTAACTTTGCCTTTTGCTCTATTTTTTGTAATCATTTGTTTTTCTTTTTGATTCCAATTCAGACTTGGAGAAAGCATAGCAGCAAACAATGCCTATAGACAACAGGAAACAGAACACATGCCCAGGAGAATGCCCTTGCAATCATTAAATCACAGTGTTCCAAGATCGGTAAAATGTTTAACTCCTCCACTTTTGAAAGCTGGAGTTCCTGGATTGAACATTGAGGAATTAATAGAGAAACTACAGGCTGGAATGGTGGTGAGTGGCAAATAGCCGTTATAAATGGGATTCTGCGTGGTACATACCAACTAAATATCAGCCCTGATTATAATATTTATTTAAGCAACTTTAGATGCAAATTTGAGCAATGAAACTTATCTTTTAATTTTTTTTTTTTAACGTTTATTTATTTTTGAGACAGAAATAGAGCATGAGCAGGGGAGGGGCAGAGAGAGAGAGGGAGACACAGAATCTGAAGCAGGCTCCAGGCTCTAAGCTGTCAGCACAGAGCCCCATGCGGGGCTCAGAACCACGAACCATGAGATCATGACCTGAGCCGAAGTCAGACGCTTAACTGATTGAGCCACCCAGGCATCCCGAAACCTTTCTTTTAATATGAAAATAACAATATTCTAGAAAGTTTGGAAAGAAAGAAAAACATTAGCCATAAAATTATAACATTTTAGCACAGCAATCATTTTTCCCCCTAGTCTTCCCCGGGCAGCCCACCCTTACCCCTCTATTACCTCCCATCTAAGAAATATATCCCACAAGCATATCAAATCCTACCCAGATACTCTTCTGCAATAATCAGGTTAGTGAAATGTTTGTGAACCACCTGATAGGACATTCGTATTTTTTTACATTGTTACTCATTAAATTTTAATGATTTAGTTTCACAGACATTTATTTTTTTTATTTTGTTGAATGTGAAAGCTTTCTGATTTTTGACTGTTAAAACTTAGGTAAAGGATCAGATTAATGATGTGAGAATATCTGACATAATGGATGTATATGAAATGAAACTGTCCACATTAGCTGTGAGTACAAGCTTGTTTTAACTATATGTAACTGTTAAGCTTTATTAAAGGTGTTTTCTGGGAGGTGATAAAGATTGATGGTATGTTTTCTTATAGTCCAAAGAAAGTAGGCTACAAGATCTTTTGGAAGCAAAAGCTCTAGCCTTGGCCCAGGCTGATCGGCTGATTGCTCAGTACCGCTGCCAAAGAACTCAAGCTGAGACCGAGGTGTGGACAATACAAAGATCTAGCTGATAAGTGGAAAAATAAATTAAGTAGTACATGTACAAAACTGTGATTCTATTTTTGTTCCTGTATTTGAAGTAAACCGTTCTCAGCATTTGACATGACTATTCCCTCCATCTTGAAACCCTCCCCTGTTTAATTTTGGTCACAACGTCAACTTCTGGTTTTCTTTCTGAATTAATGGATATTCTTTTTCTGTATACTTTATGAATTTCTTTTTCTCCACTCAACCCTAAAATACTGGCTTTTCCCCATGTTATGTTCTAAGCCCTTTGCTGTTATTAGGTAGTCTATGGTTCCAGTCATTACCAGAATGTTAAGGCCACCAATTTTATGTGCTGAGCCAAGATCCTTTTTGCTCAGTAGTAAATGCTTCCTATATAGCTCTGTTTAAAAAATAGCAAATACTTCCCATTCTGTATAACCAGTCCTGAACTCAGCAACCTTTTTAAAAATTTATTCTTTTTTGTATGTTGTTCTGAAGGGTTTTCCAGACAAGAAACCTGGAAGTCACACAGTTACCTTCTGTAAGGAGTCCTTTACCAAATCCAGTTGATTCTACCTTCTAAATATTACTTTTTTCTGCCTTGTCTCTGTTCTTGCCACTATTTGCTACAGGTCAAATCCTTCATTTTTTTATATGAAAACATAGCAGAGCCTATACTTCCTACCTTCAGGCTGGAGCCCTCTTCTCAACCACCCTCCCCATGCATCCCAAGTCATCTGTCTTGTATTTTGTTCCACTCTCCCTTCTTCCTCCACAGTGAGCCCTGAGGCTGTAATCTGATTTTATTGCTTCTGTGCTAAATACTCTGCAGTAGCTATCCATTTTACTCAGAAGAAAGTTTAAATTCCTTAGTTTGGCACATAAGGATTCTAACTCATTCCGCATCTCCTGGCATTTCTGTGCATTTTCTGCAGTCAGCTATATTAGATTACTTTGCAGTTTCTTATGCAGTTCTGTTACTTTGCAGTTACTTGGCATACTCTTAGGTCTCCCTGTCTTTTTACTTGCTCTGCCATGTCTGGAACACTTTTCCTCTTTCTCTGCCTAACTCCTAATAATCCTTCAGGTTTTAGTTTACCTCCATTTCTTAGGAAGCTTTCTCTGGTCCTCTTCTTCCCACACTTGTGAAAATTGTATAACCCCACCTCGATCCTTGATGTCAGAGACTGTTTTATCTCCCAGCCCCAGCAAGCACCATACTCAGGTGCTCAGAAAGTTCGATATTGTGCTGTGTGCATCATTAGGAGTAAGAACTTACTGCAGTAGTATGAAATTTCCTAACAGACACAAATGGAATCTCAACAGTTTGATATCATTTGTAATGAATTATAATAAAGTCATTTGACTTTTGAGAGAAGCATTAAAATCAATGACACATAGAATACCTTTACAGTCTTAAGTACAGATATTTTTAAAAATATGAATAAATATAACCATATGCTTTCCTTTTCTTTTGACATAGATTCATTTGTCTTGACTAATAGCATGTTGAATTTATCATAAATTCCAACAAAAAAATTAGTGATATTAAAATCATTTTGTCCTCTCCCTTCCCATAGCGCATTCTTACATTCTATATCTGTTGAACATGTCTTGCATTTTATTGGAGAATTTAATGTTTTACTCATTTTACTGGAAAGACTTATAAAAATAATAATGGGGTATTAACTGTTTTATAGACTGTCATAAAAATATAGAAGGGCTTAGGTTTTTATCTGGCATTTCAAAATAAGAGTATTTCTCAGGCTAATGAATGGTGGGGAGAGTTCACTTCTCATTCTAGTTTTCTGTTTCTTTAATGTTTCATGTCACAAATACTTTCATATTAAATTTAGATTGTATTCTCTGTGCTGATTTTAAGTGTTTTCTTAAACATCTGTGATATGGTTAAGATCTTATTCTTAATTCCTACCTAAAATGGAGAAAACTGATTTGTATAAATTTTATGGTTTGGAGTTGATGGCTAGCCCCAAGGAGCACACTTACCCTTTTAATTGAGTAATGTGTGTAGAGCTACCTTCATGCTGTTATAATTGTGTTCATTTCTGTGAATCTGACCATACCAAGATTGTTCTGGTCAGAACAATCTATTAAGTAAAAAACTATAACAGTGTCAGATTTGTTAGAACTAGTTAAATAATAAGTATGTGTGACTAATAAAACTTTATATAACCCAATAGATGCTAGCCTATTAGATATTTGGTAAACCTTTTAAATTGTAGAAACTGAGCATATTATATACATGGTAGAAAAGCCTCTGTTCTGTTTTGTTTGTTTTTAGGCACGGACACTTGCTGGTATGTTGAGAGAAGTTGAGAGAAAAAATGAAGAGCTTGGTGTGTTGCTGAAAGCACAACAGGTTGAATCAGAAAGAGCCCAGAGTGATATTGAGCATCTCTTCCAACATAATAGAAAATTAGAGTCTGTGGCTGAAGAACATGAAATACTCACAAAATCCTACATGGAACTTGTTCAGAGGTAAATGAATAAAGTAAATATTTCTGTGTAAAGTTAGAATCTAGAATGAACACACAGCATTTTTTTTTTCCTGTGGTCCTAAAATCCTTTTGTAAGCATTCCTATGTTCTGATAATTCCATAAGTTAAGTAATTGGCAGGAAACTTACATCACAGGTAAATGAAGTATTGCTTACTCAAACTCTGGGTCCAAGTCAGAAACAATTCAGGTCTCTTTGTTTTTTTTTCCAGTTGACTGTACTTTTTTCATGTGTTCATGCAGTCATTAGTCATCTGAGATGTTAGCACCACAAGAACAAGTTGAGTCTGCTTTGTCTGACAAAGTCGAGTCTGACAAATCCCTAGGGTCTGAAACAGTACATAGTTACCACAGTTTGTAATAAGTTGAACCATTTAATGGGCCATTTCTGCAGATCAAATGTGTTGAATATTGCATAGTATTCAGCCTAATAGCATGGAAACTCGGATGTTAGTGTTTAAATCATTGCTTAATTTGTTGTCAGCATTTCTTCTTAATGTCGTTGAATATGGTTTACTTATATGTATGACTATATATGTGGAATAAATTCTTATAGGTGAATTGTTGGTTAAAGGGTATGTGTCTTCAAATTTTTGATGGATTGCCAAGTTTCCTTCCAAAAAGGCTATAATAACTTACATGCCCACTAACAAAATGTGAGATTGTGTTTTCCTCCTCTGTTGAAATTTTCTATCTTTTAGGTCAGCTTTAAAACTTCTGAAATATAAGGAAGACCAGGAACAGTTATGTGTTTTCTACCAAACAATAAAAATTAAAACATTCTGGTTAATGTGTTCTTTGTTTTAACTTATATTTTAAGATTGGTAAGATTTGAAAAAATGTTTTGTCTACGCTATTAATACAGAGATACAGAAAATTTTAACTCTGCAAGGTCCATGTGCTCATTTGCCCATCAGCTAAAATGAAATGTAGAAAATGTATAGCATCTAGAAAATTTGTGATGCTAAAATATCCCAAATGGGATATTTTCTCCCAACAACTTGCTCCAAAGTTTGATTGTTTTAGGCAGCCCTGACAGAGTGGACTATTGTTGTTAAGTCAGGGTGTGAGAAAAAGTAAGCAGTGGTCCCAGAGAAATACGTGGTTTCCAGGAACTGCTGACGTTCAGATAGTGAGTAAGGGGCCAAGAGGTAAAACTCGTGCCTTAAAGGGCCATATGGGTAACAAATAATGAAGCTGGCTGGGGAAAGATCATTTATAATGGTAGAGACTACCTAAAGGCATTCAAATTTAGAATTTTATTTTTTTTAAGTTTACTTATTTTGGGAGAGAAATGGAGTATGTGAGCAGGGGATGGGCAGAGAGAGAGGGAGAGAGAGAAAATCCCGAGCAGGCTCTGTGCTATGAGTGCAGAGCCTGAAGCAAGGCTGGAACCCAAGAAGTGTGAGATAATGATGTGAGCCAAAACCAGGAGTCAGACACTTAATTGACTTAGCCACCCAGGTGCCCCCAAATTCAAAATTTTAAAACTGTGTGGGACAAATAAAATACTTCTGGCCAGATTTGCCCAGTGCCACTAGTTTGTACTTAATGACGTGAAAAGGACATTTTATACTTAAGATACTTGGGTGTCAAAGTATCACTTTAGAAAGTATTTCTGTGTTTACTTTGCAGGTAAAATAAGCAGGACTATTAGATGCAGAGCTCGAAAGAGACCAGAGAAGTTTTGTGTCCTCAACCACTTTGTTAATTTGACATTTTTAATTAAACATATATTATGCCCAAGAGGCTAATGATGGCAGACTTAAGTTTTATGTTTTAATAGACTTCATCGTTTTAGAGAAGTTTTTAAAAAATTTCTGGACCTAACTATAAAGATAACTATATAGCAAATTATGTAAGGCAATGTTATCTGTAAAATAAAGCTCTATATCCATAAATATGAGGTAAATGCCCTGCATATTTTCTTTTCATAGTAAATATTACCTCCAACATCGCCCAAAACATATCTTTAATATCTTTTTGAGTTACTATTCTTTCTTCGTGTCTTGCTTGTTCATAACATTCCTCTTCTTTCCTTCAGTGTATGCAGTTTGATTTGAAGAAATAATAAAAGGACACACAGTGTTTTCCTCATCATATGTTTTCCTCCATAAAAATATCAACTCATCTTGTCTTTTCAGGAATGAAACCACCGAAAAGAAGAATAAAGATTTACAGATCACATGTGATTCTCTAAATAAACAAATTGAGACAGTGAAAAAGTTGAATGAGTCATTCAAGCAACAAAATGAAAAGTAAAATCCCTAGTTCTTAATTCTAATTATTTTGGATTTTTCAAAAACAATGATTCCCTTTATATAGAACATTATTTTTACAGATAAATTAATAGAATTATAACTTATTTTAGATATAAAATACATTTTTGGCAAAATGTGAAGGTGATTATTATTCTTATTAACTGTCTCATAAAATACTTTTTGGAGAGAAAAAGAAATGAAATATTTCCTTGATGTTTTCTTCTATATTTTTATAACTTCAGGACTATTGCCCAATTAATAGAGAAAGAAGAACAGAGAAAAGAAGTACAGAACCAACTAGTAGACAGAGAATGTAAGCTAGCAAGTAAGTAGCTTCTTATTTAATAAATTGTCTATATTTTAACATATCTTGTGTTGGAAGAAAAATCAAAGCATGAATGGTTTTTATTTTGCTGTTTCATTATTTTCTACTTCTCTCATTGTTTTAAACATTAAATCACATTTTAAACAGCTCCCCTTTTCTTGCCATAACATTTTACAGAGCAGTTTAGTTAGACTGATTAAATTGAAAAGGCAATATATATTTTTTTTAATCTGGGAGTTAAGGATTCTTTTTAAAATGAGTTTTAAAAGAATGTAACAGCAGGTGGCAGTGCTAGGTAATTTTTAGTTACCAGCTTCTCAATAGTAGTAGCTCTGAAATCCACAAAAAAACATTTTTGTTCTAACTCACTTGCCTTAGAATACAGACATCTGCCTATATAATTTTCATACTTTTCTCCATCTCTCTTCTAACCTTTGAGCTCTAAGGTTTGTCTTTCCCCTCATTACTATATGTGTATATATATATATAATAGGAACAGAGGAAAAGGGAAAGACATGGAGATTTGGCATTTTTTGTTTAATACTGGCATAGGGGAAGAGTTAGGTGGTGTTTTTTATTAATCAAATACTGTAAAACTTTTATTTCCAGCAAGATATTTCCTCATCTTCCTAGTTGTCATTTTTTTGCCCTAATTACCTACTGCCTAATAAACTTTTTCAGGGTAACATCAGTTATAGGACTTCTGGGCATATAGCTGACTCTGTTTGTTTTTAAGATATGCAACAAAAAACAAAAGTACAAGAAGAAAAGATTAAAGTTTTGCAAAAAGAAAGGGAAGATAAGGAAGAAACCATTGATATCCTTAGAAAAGAATTAAACAGAACAGAACAGATAAGAAAAGAATTGAGCATTAAGGTAAGAATCTGTTGAGTTCTCATTTATAGTAAGTCTGATTTTGTGAAAAAGATGAATTTGGGTAAATTAAAGTTCTACTTAGTAATTGTATTTAGAAGATACTATAATCTCAAAATTGACAATTGTTTTATTATAAAGACTCTCTTCACAATGTGAAAGGTGATTTCCTAAAATCACCAAAACTTTATTAAATATATATTCTGTGCCAGCACTTAACTCCTTTTAAGTAGGCAAAGAATACCTAAAGGGATTCCCAGTTCTGGATGCCAAATACATCCACAGGTATAATTGTATATGGCTGCATCTCTGTTCTTTTAGGAGTAGTTCATATTTGTTCAGAACTTTATAATTTGCAAAGGACCCCTTGAAACATTTTTCTGAATCCTCCTAACACATATATTAATATATAAGTATCAATAAGTATTTTAAACCTACAAATTAAAGTGAGTCTTGAGTTACTTGCTCAAGGTCAGTCACAAAGCTAAGTGGAACAGTAGACATATGCAGTATTCTGAATCTGGTCTAGTCTCATTCCACCTTGTCCTGGTTGTTTATGTGTGGTAGCTGTGAATAGTGCTTTCTGGCCCATCTGCTACCAGGAAGATGAGGACTAGGATTGAATGACCATTTGAACAACCACAGAGCACAAATGACAGAAGAGGCATAAAATTTAATGCCACATTTACCAATTTCCTGGTTCTCTTTTAATGTGGTTATCTTAATAGTGATTCCAAATTGTAATGTGTAATATTTTCTGCAAAATTTCAGCTGCTAATATTGACTTAAAAAGATACATTGAATGTGTTTTTCCAATCTGTATTATTAATAATTCCTTATCTTAAACTTACCATATAATTTAACTAAATGTAGTACATATTTGTAATGTGTCTTTTGACATGGTTGTTTTACAAATGAAAATTAGAACATCTTAAGATTCCTGTGAAGGGAAGACATGCTAAGTTGTTTTCCTCAAATCTTCCCCTTTTCCCCAATTCTTTAGGCTTCCTCCCTAGAGGTTCAAAAGGCCCAATTAGAAGGTCGTTTGGAAGAGAAGGAGTCGCTGGTGAAACTTCAGCAAGAGGAGTTGAACAAACACTCTCATATGATCGCAATGATCCACAGTTTAAGTGGTGGGAAAATAAGTCCAGAAACTGTGAATCTCAGCATATAGAAGTTATGTATTTATCTTCCTGGGGAGGTGTGGTAGAGAAGGTAATTTGTGACCCCAGAACAGTAGTAGATTATTGTCTAATTATTAATTTAGTAAAGAACGTGATCTGATAAATATTTTTATTTGGTCTTAAAAGTTTTACTTTCTGTTTCTGGCTTTTATTGCTTAAAGCTATCTTTCATTCTTATATTAGAATATTTTTCTTGACCTCCATTATTGTTTTTGTAAAGTTTTTCCATTTTCCTTCTGATTTTTAATTTATTCTCATTTGTAATTAGATTTTAAATCAAACTTTCTTGATTTAACAATCCTAAAGATTAATAAATTGAAAATACAATTACTAGTATAAAAAGAGAAGGCATGTTATTGCCAGGGAAATTTTTTTCTAAATAGCACAAAAGAAAATTCAGTTTAAAATAATTTTGTTACTGCATTTAAAATACAGTATGATATATGGTATTAGTTCTAAATTTGAAAAAAATATAATGAATAGTTACAAAAATAATGTATGAAAATTAGAAAATATCTGATGTGTTAAATGAATACATTGTCACATAAAAAACACTATAGTTTGTACAATTATGAATAGCCTTAATTTTTAATCTTTTTAAAATGTACTATGTTGGTATACCCATATCATTTCCAATCAATTATGAATTTCTTTTGATTTACATAAGGATAACTTGGATTCCACCCTTGCTACATATTCAGAAATCTGTTATTTGTTGTTGATTCTAATGTCAGTTGCATTTAATATATTGCCTTTCATTGAAATAGTTTTTAATTTGGCCATTTAATTTTAAGGCATAGTTTAAATATCCTTATACATTTATTTCTTTAATACAAAGGGATTTTTTCAGTACTCTTCATTTGAATCAAATGTTCTAAGTGGTGTTTAAAACAGAAGAGTTTTTATATCGGTATTTTGGTTGATTTTTATTGCTACTTTTTATAACCATTAATTTTGCTTAGTGTTTTCTTCCCTATTTATATCTTCCTGTGACTTAAGTGAACTTATATTTACTTCTATTTTTCAACCATAATATACCTGAAATTATCTTTAGAAATTAAATATATTTTCATAATTTGCTAATTACATTAAGTGTCAAACTATAATAGTTTTACATACTTGGATACATTTTGTATAGTTCTGCAGATTTTAAAAACAGCATTGTACAGAGTAACACATTTTAGATTGTTGTTTTATAAGGGGTACATTCTGTTTCTCTCTTGAAATTGCATGCAGTTTCAATTTTACATGAAAAAGTGTTTAAATGGATAAATATGACTGAAGAATAAAAGGCTTTGTAAAATAAAAGAGAAAATTCTATAAAATAAATAAACCAGGGGTGCCTGGGTGGCTCAGTCAGTTAAGCATCTGACTTTAGCTCATGTCATGATCTCACAGTTCGTGAGTTCAAGCCCTGTGTCAGGCTCTGTGCTGACAGCTCAGAGCCTGGAGCCTGCCTCTCTGCCCCTCCCCCACTCACGCTCTGTCTCTCTCTGCCTCTCAAAAATAAAAGAAACATAATAAAAAAATAAATAAAATAAATAAACAAACCAAACCTCTAGGGAAAATCAAACTATCTTTACGCTTTAGACACTTTTAAGACACTGAGCCTAGACCAGTACTGCCCAATAGAACTTTTTATAATGATGTAAATGTTCTATACATTGTCCAGTATCATAGCCTTTAGGCACATGTGATTGTTTTTAAATTTTTTTTAATGTTTATTTTTGAGAGAGAGAGAGCACAAATGGAGGAGTGGCAGAGACAGAGGGAGAAAGAATCTGAAGCAGGCTCCAGGCTCTGAGCTGTCAGCACAGAGCCCGACACGGGGCTCAAACTCCCAAACCATGAGATCATGACCTGAGCCTAAGTTGGAAGCTTAACTGACTGAGCCACCCAAGTGCCCCTGCCACATGTGATTTTTGAGCACTTAAAATAAGGGTAGTGCAACTGAAGAATTAAAATTTTAACTGCCATACTGCTGGATGGTTCAGATCTAGTCCATTTTTCCAAGTATGCATTTACTTAAGCCACTCAATTTGCCTATTCTTAAAGATCTATATAGACAGAGAGTCCATGTATTTTTTAGTAACCTTTTTTTAACACAACAATTTTAATGAGTTATTCCTTATCTTTTTTCTCTAAAGAGAAAAAATTGTACTTCAGCTTTAAAGGTGAATACTAATCATCACTCACTTCATTTCTTCTGTTTATCCTAGTCTTTCTCTCTCTTGTAGCATCTTTCATATTGTTGCTATTATTTTTCTTAACCTTAGTATGTTAAGTACTTTTTCTCTCTTTTTTTTTTTCTTTTTAGGTCCATACCTCAGATTAAAAGTGTGTGTGTGTGTGTGTGTGTGTGTGTGTTTTAAAAAATTTTAGTTTAAGCAAGTTTGAGCCACTACCAAAGAGTTTTACAAATGATTTCTGTGTAATATATGACCACTTCCTAGTAGAGAAAATAAAACTAAATAAATGCATCATTATCATAGAATTACTCAAATTCTCTTAAAAAAATTTGCTATGAAGAGTTTGTCCAAGTGTACATTACACAGTTCTTTTTGCCATTTACATTTGCCACTTGAACAGATATGAGCTTCTCTTAAAATTTGGCTGATTGAAATTTATACTAAACTGCCTAATGTCAGGGCAAAACCAAATACTCATTAAAACTTAATCCTGTGTTTTGAGGGTAGATTGTCAGATTAATGTCCTTTTAGTTGTTTCTACTTGTTATAAAGACTAGTTATTTATGTTAAGGATGTAATGAGACTCTCTTAAGACTGTTGGTTAAATGAAAATGTTTGACTTTCAACTTCTACCCAAGGCTCATGCACAGGTGTTAAAAGTATGTCTAATCAAGGTATATTCTCTAAATCTCATAACCTTATTTTAACTTCTTTTCCTCTTTTCAAATAGTTATGAATTGTGTTTACAGCCTTGCTTCTGATTTACCTACTGATGAATCAAACACATACCTTGTTTGTGACTTAATTACTTTATAGGAGTCAGCAAACATTTTCTGTAAAGGACCAGATAGTATTTTAGGCTTTGTGAGACATATGGTCTCTATCACAACTACCCAGTTCTGTGACTGTAGCAAGAAAGCAGCCATAGACAGCAGGTAAATAAATAGGCATTTAGAATAGGCATATAGAACTGTGTTCTAATAAAACTTTACTTACAAAACTGTCAAAACTTTGCTATTGTGTCTCTTTATCTTTGGTAAATTTAGGCTTAAGGTCTGAGGTCTATTTTATTTGATATGAATATAGCCACTCCACCCTTTTAATGTTTTCTGTTGGTCTGGTATATGTTTTTGTATCCATTTACTTTTAACCTGTATCATTATATATAAAACTTATGATTGTAGACAATACATAGTTGAGTCTTGCTTTTTTTTTTTTTTAATCTATCTTGACAATTAAGTCCTTAACTTTCACAGTCTGCTTGGAGTTAATATTGTACTACTTAGTATAAAATTGGAGAAAACCTGCAACTGCATTGGTCTTCTTATCCTCTCCTCTTCTTTTATGCTATAGATGACATATATCTGTATCATTAGTGCCCAAAACAATGTTATAATTTTTCCTCTAAATGATTATATGGAAATATATCTGGCTCTCAACATCATAATATATTTACCTGTTTACACACTTTGAAATAATTAGTAATTTGTGGGGAGATACTGCAAGTACCCTATTTCTTATACCTTTCACCTACAAATCTCAGCATCCACTGATAATTCTTGCCTTGAATACGTTGTTAGTTACTCTGATGGTTGCCACATTTTTTAACTTGTTTTACTTTCTAATAGAAAAAAATTGGACATTTTGGTAATATTGTGATATACTGGGAAAAGCAATCAAAATTACATCATCTATTACATCACTGACAAAACTAAAATATAGTACTTACAGGTTTACACTTAACAGAGTGTGTACTTTTTGTGTGTGCATCTTCTCACAAGCCAAGAATTTGAGATTTGCTTTCTGTAGTTTAAGAAAATAAATAATAGGTATGTTAGGCATGTGGAATTTTTTTTTTTTTTTTAACCACAGGGCCCTTTGGATAGTATTTTCCTTCCCAAACCCCCTAATCTTGTTTACTTGCCTTGGTTCTCTCCATGATCACCAGTAAATACTCAATGCATATTACCCATAATGATAAGTCTTTTGGATTAAGAAACAAATTGTGTATTTTCTGCATTCACTTTAACATTCAAAATAACTAATTTTTAAAAATGAACACATGAAAATGTGACCTATGCCTTTAAAAGGTAAATGGTTAATTTTTTTATAATGTACATAATGAACCTGATAAGTACTTGAAATTGTATGCTTCGTAATCCGTACATTTAGGGGAAACAAAAATTATGGGTTTCTTTGAATCTGCAAATCACTTTGAAATCTTAAAAAAATCTTGCTCTATTCAGCACTTTGTAGCTAATTGACTTTCTTCCTGTCATGCCTGTCATGAGGTTTGTTTTGTTTATGCTTTTGTTCATCTAACCATTTGAAAATACCCCAAGAAAACTTAATTATCACCAGGAATGAGAGGTACCATACTTCTCAGAAACCAGCTTTTCTTCACGTTAAAATAGCCCATTGTAAAGGTCATTAGATGTGAGGCAAAGTAACTTTCCTCTCAAGTAAACGCACATTTTTCGTTAATTCCCCAAGGACCCAGTATTTATATGCTCTTGGTATCTTTAAAGACGATGGATAATTCTTAGAATATACAGCAAAGGGCTTTTTACGTAAGGTCTAGCCAGTGCTGCACAGAAAGTGACATTTTCAAAGTCAATAGAGTAGGTTGGGTTACAGTTTCATTATGTTATTAAAAACTAATTTTCCACTAAGTAGCTGAGCATTTGGCAGGGATTTAGTAGTGAACATGATTCTGCCTCTCCATTATATTATCTGCACTATTCCAAGAATTATATTTCATCTCACTAATCTCAAAGAGCCAAAAGATACAATGTATTAGA